TTAAAGAAGCTAAAGCAAATTTTAGGGGTGGTGGGGAGGAGTTAGAATAGCAACCTTGCAGAATTAGAAACTTTTGACCATGATTTGAACAAAGCATGTTCCACTGAGAATATTCCTTATTTTTAATGTCTGCCTCCTCCCATGGGGAGCTGTACAGCCCCTCAGGCAGCGAGGCAATGCAGCACTGTGATTCGGAGCAGTCTCGCTGTGACTCTCCGAGCTACCACTTCCTAGTAAGTGACCATGGGCAGGTAATGTAACCTCTCCCAGCCACACTCTGCTCACCTGTGAAGGTGTAGTGAGATGATATATGCAAAGTATTTAGAGGGTACTTGGCACGCAGGAGGTGCTCAACCAATATTGGTTATTAATAACCACGATTAAAACCTTAAATGCTTTTTAGAAAATCATCCATTTTTAACAGCATCACTGAGATGTAATTCACATACCATAAAAGCCACCTTTTAATGTGGGTGATTCAATGATTTTCAGTAGATTCAGAGAGCTATGCAACCGCCACAATTGCTGCCATATAATTCCAGAACATTCCATCACTTCAAAAATAGACTCCATGCCATTAGCAGCCATTGCCATTCTGCCCTCCTTTAGGCTCCCAGGTAACTGCTGTTCACAGTCTCTCTATAAATGTGCCTGTTCTAGACATTTGTATAAATGGTATCACACATCACTTAGACTTTTATTATATAGATGTATGAAGTAACATAATACTATTTAATGGTAGACTCTGGTGAAGATATATATTATAATTATTAAAGCAAGCACTTTAAAAAAAGAGGCATAACTAATAATCCAAAATAGAAGATAAGATAGAGTACTCAGTTCATCCAAGAGAAGGTGGATAAAGAGGGAAAAGAAACAAAACACCAGATGGGACAAGTAGAAAACAATAATCAAGATGGGATATTTAAAGGCAACCATACCAATAATTCATTACATATTAAACAACAACCAAAAATGGACACAGAAAAGTACATATTGTATTGTTCCATTGATATGAAATTCTAGACTAGGCAAATGAATAAAAAGAAGCAGCAGTTGCCTGGAACCAATGGTGTTAGCCACAAGGAGGCATGAGAAATCTTTTAGGCTTTGGAAAAATTCTATAACTTGATCTGCATGATGGATTCATGAGTGTGTACATTTGGTACTTATATGGGTGCATTTTATTGGATGTAAATGATAATTCAATAAAGTGTTTTTAAAAGTTAAAAAAAACACAAAACTTAAATGTCAAAACAGATTTGAACCAAGCAGCCTGGAGGCAAACATTATGTCCTTACTGATTCACTACACCACATTTCCTCTGGCTGAAAAGATTAGGTCACCCATTCACCTAAGTTTCCAATAAATGATATTGTGGCTTTGAAAAAAGGTGCTTAGTTTTTGGATTAAAATATCTTTGGAAGAAAAAGTTAAATGCCTACAAATTAATTGATCAAGAAATATGTAAGACCTTTATGATGACACTGGTGAAGAACATAATAGGACAAATAAGAGATTTACACCATGTTCCTACATGAGAAGTCAATCTCATGTGGAGAAAGTACTTACCCTCAATCTAATATAAACAGGTATTGTAACACCAGTTAAAATTCCAATGAGAGATTTTTGGAGAAGAAGGAAAGGTGCTTAGAAAATGGATTTGAAATTTTATCTGAAAAAATGCACAAGAATAGCCAAAAGATTTTGAAAAACCGAATAACAGGCCTAACCACACTGCAACACATTTTTTTATAATCTAGTAATTAAAGCAATCTGGCACCAGTGAAAAAATAGACATAAAATTCTGAGTCTCAAAGTAGAAACATGAATATATGGAAATTTATCATTTAATGTTAATGTTTTATTCAAATGAGCCGCAAAGGGATAGGCTGTTTAATAAATGGTGTGGAAGGAAATGAACACTCATTTATAAAGAAAATAAACTAGGACCTCCTCTTTCATTATTTATGAAAATAAATTCCAACCAGATTAAAGATTTAAACAAAAACAAAGCCATAAAGGTACTGAAAGAAAATGTTAAGGGCCATTTGTATAATCTTAAAGAGGTTCTTTAAAGATGACAGGAAGCCCAGAAGCCATTAAGAGAAAGACTGAAAGATATGACTGTATACAAATTTAAAACTTGTGCATGAAAACTTTTTTTTAAATTAGAAAGCAATGACCAAACTGGGAATATTTGTAAATTCTACAAGAAATAGATTAACACAATATATAGCTAAAAAATAAAACCATCACTCTAATGCATTCTTGGTAATAAGCAAGTTAACATATAAATATCCTTTTGTTTTGCAATTCCACTTCTAAAACATATTGAACAAAATATATACAGTATATTAGACAAATATATATATATATTTGTCTTAGATCTCAAAGTATTTTTATTTCAATAGTATGTGTAATAGGCTGTATAAAAAAGTGAAAAAGATATCAGTGTACATAAATGAGTGTTACACTATTAGTGTATTAAATATGGCACACTAATGCAAGAGTATTCTTACAACTATTAAAAAAGAATGAAGGGGATCTATAGAGGCTGACATATAAAGTCCGATATCTAATTTTATATATTATGAACTCATTTTTATTAAAAATTATTATATAGTCCATTACTCTCAACTGACTCAACCAGGATCATTCGTTGGTTAATGAGAAAAAGGTTAAAGTATAGGGAAAGATACTTTAAGTACTTCATTTTAGTTTTAAAAATATGTACACTCATTCTGCAATCTTTGGATATAGAACCAAGGACTTTTCTTTAACTAGGGGTCCACCTGTCCTTTCTTAGTAAACTATATCCTTAAAATATTGTTTAAGATTTCTGGTTTCAGTTTCTTTAAAATGCAGTGAGGACTTAAAAATATTTGCAAAGTAATCCAGGTGCATGCTCTATCTAGATTTATATTCTCCCCAATCTTTTGCAGTTGCCTTGTCCACTCTTCATTAACTGAAGTTTTCTTAAGCATCTAGCCCTTAGCAAATCTTTTCAACACATTAGACTTAGTTGAAATAGGAATAATAATTCTCTTTCAAGCTCACATTTTGGATTATGTTTCATTGAAATTTCAAACTTACTATAGTGATTACAACTAAAATAAAAGGTTGACAAACATAAAACAACAATGTGAAACTATAAATTAACATCAGATTTATTAATCAATTAATTTCTTATTAAATATTTTAACATCTGTCAGTTTAACCAAGTACCATTAACTGGATCAGCAGATATACTCAAGTCCATAGACCTATGCTGTCCAATATAAGCTGGCATTGCTCAGTGGTTGAGCGTCGACCTATGAACTCAGAGGTCACGTCTGATTCCCAGTCAGTGCACATGTCTGAGTTTTGGGCTCAATCCCAAGTGTGGGGTGTGCAGGAGGCAACCAATCAATGATTCTCTCTCATCATTGATGTTTCTAACTCTATATCTCCCTCTCCTTCTCTAAAATAAATAAAAATAGTTTCAAAATAGTAATAAAGCACTTGAAATGTCAGAATGAAATATGCTATAAACTTAAACTATATACCAGATTTCAAAGACTTCATAATGAAAAAAGAATGGAAAGTACTGGGATAATGATTTTTATATTGATCATAAATTGAAATGACAATATGGAAATACCAGATTAAATAAAAGTGCCTAGCCGGCATGGCTCAGTGGTTGAGTGTTGACTTATGAACCATGAGGTCACAGTTCAATTTCCAGTCAGGGCACATGCCCAGGTTTCTGGCTCCATCTCCAGTGGGGGGCGTGCAAGAGGCAGCTAATCAATGACTTTCTCTCATCATTGGTGTTTCTATTTCTCTCTCCTTCTCCAGTCCTCTCTGAAATCAATAATATATATTATTAAAATTAATTAACTTAAAATATTTCATGTGGCGAATAGCACATTTTAAATGACAAATGTTGCTCTCATTATATTTCTATGAAGTAGCACTGCTCTAGACCTGCAAACATCCTTTGTTTAATGATGATGTCATCCATAAAGTTCCACTTGGTAAAGTGAGTCAGAGTATCTTTTGTCACCTTTGTCACCTCAATCCAAGGCATTTTGGGGTAACATTTTATTATAAACCCTCTAAGCAGACTTGTGACTCCATATCAGGCAGGGATATAATGTTTTATTCAAATGAGCCGTGGCTCAGGGGCCACAGTTGGCTCCTTGTCTATCCAGTATGGCTCACAAGCTAAGAACAGTTTTTGTGATTTTAAATGGTTGGAAAACAAATTTTAAAATGATTCATATTTTGAAAGGCATAAAAATTATATGAAATTCAAATTTCCGTATCTTTAAATAAAGCTTTATGGGCCTAGGGCCATGTTCAGCTTATACACCGCCTGTGGCTACTTGGTGCTACAGGGGCACAGTTAAGAAGCTGCATCAGAGACAGTAGTGCCTGCAGAGTCTACACTATTTATCTCCTGACCTTTTACAGAAAAAAAGCTTGCTGTCCTCTGCTCTCTCTCATCCCTTATGACTCATGGGCAGAAGTAGCTGTCAGTTGCATCTACAGGATCTGGTGGAGATAAACAGAAGAAAACCTTCCCATTTTAATATCTACCAGAGATTAGTTTAATTTTTAGCTTCTTAACTGGCTGGTGCCATTATTGTTCTTGACTCAAGAGAGTGTTCAGAAACCCAATCATTGGGAAAGTGTCTTCTGAAATAGTTTATTTGTTTTTGCCTCTGTGTTTCTTTTATTTCAAAAGACAATAGGGTTTTGTTTATTTTTCTAAGACAGGTTTTACCCACATGGCATCAAACACAAAAAGACCAAGGGTCTGTAGCCGCACTGGTCAACGAGTGCCTTTAGTTTGAAATTCGCCAGTATCCAAGCCCTGACACCAATGATGTCCTTGGAGGGCTTGGATGCCCACTGCCCCTTTGGTGACCAGCCTCTCAGTAACTTTTCCTGTTTCTTTTGAACCCTCAACTCTCGTGGAGGATTGTTCAACCCTTGGTTTCCCAGGTACCTACCTCAGTAGACCCTGTGAACGCAATCTTGTCTATGCCAATGTGAGACGCTATTGCTGCCCCAGCCGTTGGCCCATATCCTGGCAAAATATTGACGACTCCTGGTGGAAAGCCAGCCTGACAAAACAGAATCGGAGGAAGGGTGGCTTGTGAGAGCTGGAGAAGCAGGTGAAGTCAGCTACGCCCCAATAGGCCCAACTGCACGGAGCAGGGGCCGCTTCTGAAGGCGGCTTCTCTTACCTCCTTGATGAGGGCTCCCATGTAGAGCGCGCTGAGTGGTGTTTGCTCTGCTGGTTTAATAACTACTGTATTGCCGCAGCACAGAGCTGGAGCAATTTTCCAGGCAAACATCAGCAGGGGGAAGTTCCACTGAAAGGGGAAAAAATGAGGTTGGTAGATGGAAAACTATCCCTCCTCTACTTTGTTTTCAAGCTGTGACTTCTCAGATTTCTCAGACTAGTCCGCAACATAAATCTTGTCCCACCACAAAGTGTAGATGTTTGGATTTTTTAAATTACCTCATTAAGAATAAAATAGGAACTGGCCTTGGAAATCCAAATTACTATATTCCAACTACCCAGCAAAAGAAATCACACAGTGAAAAGAGAGTCTTTGTGTGTTTTTTTCTTTGTTTTGTTTTGTTTTGTTTTGTTTTCATTGTTATTTTATATGTTTTTAAAGCAAGACTTTGGTTCCAGGAGGTTCTTGTGTATGAAACCTTTTTCTTGTGATTTTTGTACCAGGGATTTCAGACGGGTATGAAAGCTCTCCAGGGGAGAAGAACTAGAAGAGAATATTCCAGCTGTGAATTATATTTAAGTCAATGCATATGTCAATGCATACATATATATAGATAGATAGATATAGATATAGATATAGCTATAGATATAGATATAGATATAGATATAGATATAGATATAGATATAGATATGATAATATATACATATAGATTATCACAAAAACATGATTATAAAAATAAAGTGCATCTTTGCTTTTGGAGTAGGCAAACATTTTAGTTTGTTTTCTTTCCACTGCAAAATAAGCTAATGGAGACCAAAAATATATGTATCTGAATTTGGGGCCAAACATGATTTTAAAAGAATATTGAGCTTGCATTGTCCTAAGCACAGGCATGAGCCTCAGGACTATCAGGTGTTGCTGATAATTTCATTAAGAAAGAAAACAGAATGGCTGGTCCCCTGGCTTCAGCCCGACCACAGTGCGTTTCTGCCTGAAGCATCTCAGCTGCCACCCCTGAAAGATTCTCACTGGCCCTGGCAAGCTTGCAAAAATATACAAGTGTCTTGCCTTCACCAAACACCCAATTTCTTTTCCCCTTCGTTGTTTATAAACTTGGGAGTCCACAGTGATGTTTCAATTCCATCTACAGCATATAAATCTTGGAGCGTGGTAACCGAGCGGAGTGGCTGACAGGCAGCTCTTGTCCTGTCAGTGAAAGCTCTGCCCCGAGAGTCTGGGAAGGGCCAGGAGAGCAGGGTTCAGCTCCTGCAATTAAGGTAACAGACCTCACTCCTCCTCTGATCCAAGTGGGATTTCGCGCGGGGGGGATGGGGTGGGAAGAGGGGGGAGGGGAATGGAGAAGAGGTTGGGGGAGAGGGGGAGGGCGGTGAGGAGCAGAAGAACTTAAATCAAACCTCTCATTTTCTGTTTTCATTCTCTAATAAATTTCACAGTAACCAGAGTCTATAGCTCATGAAAAGAATATTGATATTCTAAAACATGTTTACCCCCCCCCCAAGCCCAAAGATGATCTTAACTCATCGTCATAGATTTTAAAAAGAGAAAACTCCTTGTCTACAACGCAAGAGTTTAGTTTGAGCCTCCCCTGAAACCCTGGCCAGAATGAGGAGCTAGCACTGTTGGAAGATTGGATGGTGTTTTGTATAGTGCCACGGCTGTGTATGGGAGAGAGGCAGGAAAAAAAGACAATGTTTAATGTTCCAATCCAAACACTAAGCACTACATCTATTTCCCTTTACAAGACACACAACAGCCCGGCATGGTTTCAATTATGACTGTGACGTTAATGTACTGCTGTGTCTTCTGTGGAGTCTTCTATCTAGATTCTTGTGAAAAGAAACAGTGAGAAAGAATGGGATTAGAAGACCATATAAAACAGTATGCCTAGAAAGATGGTGAGTCACAGTTTTAAAAAATAAACAAGCAAATATAACAAAGCATTAATTTTCCATAAGCCGAATGGACATCCATAACCAAGGATAGGTTATTAATACATTGGGCTTTGCTTTGCTTATTTTAATCATGAGAATTCCATGACTTGAGAATTCAACTCCTGGTAACGGAGCTGAAACCCTATTAACCTGTTCAAATAAGCATTTGCAGGGAGGCTGTTAAATATATGTCAACAACATGAGCTCAGTTTTTTTCCCCCCAGTAATGGAAAACACACATCACTGAGATCCATGTTTTATGTATCTTTTAAGAGAACTGGTTCAAATGAAAATAAATATGAAGCATGAGGATCTACACTCACCGGGATGATCTGTCCACACACTCCAATGGGTTCATGTCTTGTGAAGGTAAAATAGTCTCCATCTGAAAGAAATGAGCATGGTCACTACCAGAGAATCCAAACCAGAAGAAAAAATGCAGAGGGAGAACTTGGTGGTAGCAAAAACGAGAAATAAAGTTGAGAGAACATCCCACTCAACTGAGTACGAAAGCTGGTAGATACTTCACTTGGCATAAAGTATTTCTGGTTATGGCTCCCAGATACCCAGAGTCCTAACCTCAGAGGCAGAATGATGGACAGGTTGATGGTACTAGAAACAGTGTTGGGGGATGAAGTTTTTTGGGTGGGGGAGGGCTGCTGAAAACTAGAAAATATTCACTACTAAATTTTATATTAAATATTTAAATGATACGTATATGTAGAACAGTTATTTGATTTAAAAACTGAGACACCTCAACATTTTCAAGTGCATTTCCTGAGTCCTGAGACACAAGCATATGTAGGCCTAATTTTAAAAAGGCCGAAGTCCACTTCAAAGAAAACTCCATCAATCCCAAAGCCTCCACCCCCAAACTAGCCGTGGAAATGAGGACGATTTAATAACCTGGTTTCCCTTATAGGAACAAAAGGTAATTGGAATGATTATCCAGGAAAGCCAAACCAAATTCTCCTTTAGGAAAACGCCATTATGTTTACCCGAATTATTTTAAATGGCTAATTGAAATAACCAAAGAAAGAACAGTCCATTTTTAGTATAGGGCCTTCTCTTTCTGGTCCTAGTCAAAGTCTTTGTTTTTCCCTCAATTGGCAACCTTTTGGCCACTTCACTGATACATTTTTTTCTCTCAAAAGCCATCCCTCTGGGAAAGTGAAGAGCATCACTGTTGGGGACACATAGGCATGCAGGTGGGGACAAGAGGAGGGCATGGGTTGGAAAGAGAAAATGATGTGACTGTTTAATCATCATCTCTAAACACATCTGAATAATAACTAATATTTATCACACAGAATTGTTTTAAATTCAAAATTATACATTTTAAAATAATTAAAAGTCTCATTCTCTTTCTTTTTCCTGGACCTCTTCCTGGAATTAAAAGCTAACTGTTACTGGTAGCATCCTTTTATTCTGCTCCATCTCTCATTATTTTTAAATACAAATAGCATCATATTATTAGTCTTCTATATTTTATTTTTTCCACTTTTTTTTCACATAAATATAACATATTTAACTGCTGAATATTATTCAACTGTCTCAATAATGGTACTACTTGCAAACTATCCTGAGGGACACCGAGACTGCTTTCAGTTTAGGCTACCTATAATAACAAAAGTGTACTATGATAATTAGACCAGACAGCCAAACGACCTTTCAGACATCCTTCTGGATGAAGCTGTGGCAGTGGGGCTGAGGCAGAGGTGGTTAGGGGTGATCAGGCAGGCAGGCAGAGGCAGGCAAGGGGCAATCAGGCAAGCAAGCAAGTGGTTAGGGGTGATGAAGAAGGCATGAAGAATGGTTAGGGACACCCAGGTAGGCAGGTGAGTGGTTAGGGGAGATCAGGCAGGCAGGTAGAGGGGGTTAGGGGAGATCAGGCAGGCAGGTAGAGGTGGTTAGGAGAGATCAGGCAGGCAGGTAGAGGTGGTTAGGGGAGATCAGGCAGGCAGGCAGAGGCAGGCAAGGGGCAATCAGGCAAGCAAGCAAGTGGTTAGGGGTGATGAAGAAGGCATGAAGAATGGTTAGGGACACCCAGGTAGGCAGGTGAGTGGTTAGGGGAGATCAGGCAGGCAGGTAGAGGGGGTTAGGGGAGATCAGGCAGGCAGGTAGAGGTGGTTAGGAGAGATCAGGCAGGCAGGTAGAGGTGGTTAGGGGAGATCAGGCAGGCAGGCCAGCCAATGGTTAGGATCCAGAAGTCCCAGATTGCAAGGGGGATGTCCCAAATTGTGAAAAGGTACAGGCAAGGCTAAGGGCACCCTCCCCCCTATATATGTATTTTATGCACCGGGCCTAAACAACCAAATGACTGAACAACCAAATGACCAGTCACTATGGCATGCACTAAGCACCAGGGGCAGATGCTCAATGCAGGAGCTTCCCCTTGGTGGTCAGTGAGCTCTCACAACCAACCTCCTGTGGCTGGCCAACCTCCCATGGTCCCTCCCCCTCAGCCCGCTGGCCCTGATTGGCCCCCATCACCCACCCATGCACAAATTTGTGCAGCAGGCCTCTAGTTATAAACAATGCTGTAAACACTCTCATTTTATATACCTTAATTTTGTGTGCAGACAACTCAAGAATTATTATAGATGCCATTCTTTACAATAGTGCCAGTTATTACCCTTCTTCAATTTATAAATCTCTGTAAGGTGGGTGGTTGTTTTTTTTTTTTTTAATATTAATACCATTTTATGTTTCAGATTGTTTTTTTCAGTAGATATAAATGTGATGTCAGGCTCTTCTTCCAGGGAAGGTATTCCTTGGGGAGCAGTAATATCAATCAATAGGCTAAAGAGTTTCATTTCCAATGAAATCCTTCCCAACTAAACTCTACAGTTTGGCTAAGGTGATGGATTCAGGTGGATAATCACAAACCATAAAAATCGGAGTATAATGTCAAGTTGGAGTACAAATGGGCTAAAGAAAATATGGGAAGAGGAACTGAAGAACAATACAGGTGCTTACTTTAGAAGCCCGTGTGGGACATGGGAACGGTTCAGAGAAAATTCATAAGGCACTACTGCAAGCACAGCATGGTGACTCATAAAGCATTTCCCCCTCTACGTGCCAAATGCTTAAGAATTTAGTGGTATTACTTATATGATTTTGAAGGTTACTGAAGAAATGAAAGAGAAGGGGGGAAAAAAGTGTAGGCAAAATCTTTAAAAACTGACCTCATGAAAAACTGAACTTGACTCCATAATTGTGTCCCAAGAGAAAATGAATATAAGAAATGAAATTTTTCTGAATAAACAGCTCATAGATTGGACAATTAGCTAAAGGCTGGCACAGAGAAATGAACTGAAGAATCTTCTGTCCCTACAGTTCCTCTAAGTTTTCAATAAAGCAATACAGGATTTGGTGCTTGAACTCTTCCCAACAGAGCACTGAGTGAAAGAGATAAAGGAAGGACCATAGTTCAGTCTGTATTCCAGTCTGGTCAGTGCGTGGTGATTCTGGACGCCCCTGGTCTGGTCTGGGGCCTTGGCAAACACAGTAGCTGTGCCTTCTACATGCATCCTTGTCTAAGGTGAAAGGCATTTTAGAGGTCCTCCCAGGTACTACGACCTGCTCCAAATCCCGTCTAAAGTTACCCAAAGACCAATCGCTCAAGAGTTGTCTTTATCATTTCTGCTAAATCCAAGTATAACTACTCTATTACTCAATTATTCTGTTAAATCAACTCATCTTTTAAATATATGTACATGACTACTTGTTAGCATCACCTTAAAGAAAATCTGTGAAGCAACTGGGTTCATGAGTTAGCAATCTTTTCTTCAAACCTAATCATTAAAATAAGAAATGTTCATTACTTTACTGTGTAGAGTCACTTCGCATGCTACAAGTGCCAGGTAGTGTGCTGAATTGTACTTCTCAAGTTTAAAAGTGTACACAAAGCCCCTGGAGGTCTTGTTGCAATGCAGACTCTGAGTCAGGAAGTCTGGGGGACCTGAGCCTCTGCAAGCTCCCAGGTGATGCCGGCACTTCTGACCCACAGATCACACTCTGAGTAGCGAGGTTCAGTGGAACCAAGAGGGTAAATGGGAGTCGACAGGCATCGTGATGACCTACAGCCGCTTCATGCTGACTTTATTTCTGTTTATTTATTTTTGCCTCTCTGGTAACTCGACTAATTTGCTTGAAAGGAATCTGAAGTGTAGGGGAATCTGATCAATGTTTTTAATACTTTTAAAATAGCAAAATAAGAATATATATATATATATATATATATATATATATATAAACTTACAAAATATTTTCACATTCTTCATGTTCAAAACAATTTGATGAGATAAAAAAAAATCACAGCAACTGTTATTATCAGCATTTTACAAATAGAGAAAATATGGCACAAGTAGGTTAAGTTCAGAGTCCCCGGCTTCATCTGGAACCTTGTCTGAATGGTCATCTGGAAGGATGTCAAATGGTTGTTCTGCTGTTCAGTCTAATTGGTATATTAACTCTTAATTATATAGGATGCTTCCCAAGTACGGCAAGATGACTTAAAAGGTTGTTCCCTTCATTTCTCATGGGCTTGATGTGGAAAACATCTCCACCCAAACACAGACTCTCCACTTGGGGCTGCAGTGATCTTGGGTTTTCTTACCAACCATGAAGCAGAGAGAACCAGACTCAGCACGAAGGCCTGCATTTGATGAGGACACCAAATAATGATCTAAATCCCACAGCCTGAACTGACAAATCAGAACATAATAACTATGATGGAGAAAACTAAAGAAAAGATGAAATACCAAAACAGAAATACAAAATCACATATGTAAGGTATTTCTCTAAATCACATGTATAAGGTTTTTCTCTCTTAGCCTCTTTCCCATTTCACTCAAGAAAGTAAAAATTATATAGTAAGATACCACTCTTACAGGAGTTTTAAGACTCACCCAAAGACAACTTCCCTGATGTGTTTTACACCTGAGTGTTTTTACACAGCATAAAGAATATAATCTCTTACAATTAATGATATTATCATACTACTAGAAGCTTGGTGCATGAGATTTGTGCACCCGGTGTGAGAGACCTCAACCCAGCCTGTGCCCTTTCATAGTCCAGGAGCCCTTGGGATATGTCCAACTGATGACTTAGGCCCACGCCTGTGGGGAAGGGCCTAAGCTGTCAGCCAGACATCTGTAGCACTGCCACAGAAGCCAGCACTCCCCTTGTGAGAATGCACTGACCACCAGGGGGCAGCTCCTGTGTTGAGCATCTTCTCCCTGGTGGTCAGTGTGTGTCATAGTGACCAAACGGTGATTTGCATATTATCCTGTAATTATACAGGACAAATTTAGTTGAACTGTGGATCAAATTTTTTATGTGTAGATTGAGCCATTTTTAGAATTATATCATCTTCCCTAGAAATGAGTAAACGTCCTCTGTATTTGTGAAATACACTTGAGCTACTATACTGGTTTTTTGAGGGGAGCTCAACAAATTACATAGGAGAGACTTGGCTGGTTTGGCTCAGGGATAGTGTTGGCCTGTAGGCCGAAGGGTCCTGGGCTCAATTCCAGGCACGTGCCTCAGTTGCAGGCCCCTCCCTGGCCTGGGCCCTGGTCAGGGCATATGCAGAAGGCAATATCGATGTGCTTCTCTCATCTCAATATTTCTCTCTGTCTTTCCCTCTCTCTTTCACTCTCTCTAAAAAATCAATGGACAAGTATCCTCTAGTGAGGATTTAAAAAATTGCACAGGAGAGATAGCAATTATTTAGTTAATTAGAACAATTTAATTATTTGGATTATTCCTTCAGAATAAACATTACTTCTTAAAGCAGATTTTATAGTTGCTTGAAAAAAATTTTTTTACGAACTTCTCATAAGCATATCTGACATTGGCATAGTCTATACAAAAATTAGGCAGTATAATTGGGTAATATGTACAGTCAATAAAATCAGAAAAATCTGAAATGTGCCAGAAATTGAGAAGTTTATCCAAAATGGACTGCAAGAACTAGCTCTCAGTTACATTACAATAATAAGAGTATTTGAAGAACTGCAGTTAGTTTGATATACCTGGTCACACTAAAAATGAGTTTATTTGATAGCATAAAAACCTGTACAGAATTTCGTGAATTCATCTTTCCATCTCCAGTATTAAAACAATTAGACCAGCTATACTGATCCAACCCGCTGTGTCTCCTGGCAGATTCCTATGTATTCTGATACTGAACAGACACTGAACAGACCTCGCAGAACAGTTTACGGCTATAATGATAAACTATAAACACCTATACAAACACTGAGACTTTACATTACTTTTCTGGACCTCAGTTTCTTTGTCTGAAAAATGAGGAGATTGGCCTTAGGAATCCTTGAGGCCTTTGTAGCCTTAAACCTCTCCAAGAGGGGAGCTTGTGAAACAGACTTCATGACCTCCTGTCACCACCAATTCAGGTCACACTAACTACCCTGCTTCTTCTTAGGTGAGCAGAACAAATCGCTCTCCCCTCTTAGGGAACAATAAGATTTCACCATTTGTGACCTTCATTAATAGCACTAAACTAGATGTAGCTGTTGAATGCAAAGCCTTAGGATCTGAGTCAATGTCTGAGCACTTTTTACCTATTATTTCATTGAATGCATAAAACGGAAAGGGGATGGAAGTGAATAAATAATTACATATGACCTGAGTAGGTTTTTAACCTTTTCTGTAGGCTATATAAAGCCATTCTGTAGGAATTGAGCTTAAAGCATGAACTATATTTTCTCTGCTTACATAGCACAAAATCAATAAAATCAACACTAGGTAGTTACAGAGGAAAACCTTACACAAATCAATTAACCTCCATTTCTCCCTCCATTAATTGCAAATACGTTTTGATCCTCCATCATAAAGAGTTTGTGGACATGGGAGAATATAAGTTTAAAATAATCAAAATGGGAAAAATAATCTTCGCCTGCTGGGTTGCTAGGAGATTAGAGATAACATAATGAGTACAAATAAGGTGTTCACTAAATCATATTAATGGTTATTATTTATCAACATAATTCGAAGTGCCATGGTAGCAGGGTCAGAGCATAGGATTTATGGTCAGAGACAACAGCTCCACTGAGCATCATAGCAGGAAATGACAGACAGTGCTGTACAGGAAAAAGCATTAAGACCTTCGTGAATCACACTGACACTGCATGACTCTGGGATAACATCCATGATGGGCCTTGCGTGGGATGTAATGGAGAGGAATGGGAGAGGCTCTCAAGTCGGAAGGAGAAGCAGCTGTCCAGTGGATGGCTCAGAGTGGTCATGCCATAACCCTTCTCCTCTTTCCAAATATTCTAGAGGGAGGCTACCCTATGAGGGGGTGGAGAAGAAAGCAGATACTTGCTCTCTCCAACTGATTGTCCATCATGTAATCAAAGTGCAATTTTGATCAAGGCACTCATGTGTTTAAAATAATTCAGTGACACCATTGGAATAAAATGTGTAGCATAGTTTCCCCAGCTCCAGAGCCCCACTGTCTTCTATTTCAGATCCACTACCACTCTGTACTCTCCTCCCCCGCTCGCCCCCCCCCCCCATGCTTTGCACAGGAATTGCCACCATCTGTGATGGCCTTATCTCCATCTTACTTACCCTTCAAGTATCATCTGGTTCATCTCAACTCCTTCTCAAGGAAGCCTTAATACCGGCTAAGATTGCCTCTTCTCTGGATTCCCACTGAACTTCGTGCTTTCACATATGAACAAACTACACTGTATTGCATTTGCTTGTCTACTTGTTGCTTTTTCTTACTATTTTATGAGCGTCTTACTCACCTTTGTAGTTCTCAATGCTTAACACAGGACCTGAGAGGGCAGGTGCCTGCTCTGTGCTGCTCTCTGTCCTCTCCTTGCAACTCAGGTAGCTGGTTAGGAATACAGAATCTCAGGCCCCACCCCACGCCTATTCAGTCAGAAACTGCACTTGAAGAAGATTCCAGGTGGTACACAGGTACAATAAAGTTTGAGAAGAACTGCTCTGCTCTAAGCCATCTACACTATCAGCCAACCATCCCCTTTTTATAAACCAACTTGTGCACTGGTGGGGTCTGGCCCCAATTGGGATGAATTGGGGCTGGGTCTGTCAGGAGGAGACAGCGGGAGATTTTTCAACCTGCCCACCCTGATCAGGGTCTATCAGGGCCAGGCCAGCTGGGGAGAGGGACTGCAGGTGATTGGCTAGTGGGCCCTGCCCCAATTGGCTGGGTGGGGGAGGGGCTGATTGGGGGTCAGCAGCTGGGGGAGGGACTGTGGAAGGTTGGCTGGCCAGCCCCACTCCCAATATGTATGTGTGTGGGGGGCTATAGGGGCAGAGCTGGCTTGGGGAAGGAGCCACAGGTTAATTGGGGTGGTGGGGGCCCATTGGCAGCAGGACTGGCCTGGGGGAGGAGCCACAGACAGTTGGCCTGCCAACCCTGCCCCTGATTGGGGTGGGGGGCCGATCTGGAATGGGGTCGGCTAGGGGGAAGGGCTGCGGGAGGTTGACTGCCAGCCCCACCTCCAGATCTGGCCTCCAGATCTGGCCAGTTGGCTGGTCACAGTGGGCATCATAGAGACCAGTCATTCTGGTCATTACAGCTTTCTGGTCGCTGGCTTTTTATATATGTAGATACTCTTGAGTCTAGGAATACCTCACAGGACACTCCCAGTATCCCAGCATTACTCTGCACCATTACTAGTACAAGCAATCCTTGGGTTATGTCTGACTTGACATACTTTGTTTTGTAGTTACGTCTCAATTATTTATTTAAAAAGAAGTTCTGTCATTTCGACATATGTACAGATGTGCTTTATGTTTTTTATTATTTCTTTACCACAAGTAAAGATCGGAAATTATTATCTTGCTTTTTCATTTTTTTTTTTTACTGTTTCACTTCATTACTGCTGTGTATGTGCTCCATGTGAGTGACGCAGGTGCTTATGTAGGGGTTCCGACTTACTGCGAAAATACGTCTTAGGAACGGATCTCCGATGTAACCCGATGACCTACTGTATGCACAGGGAGAGCAGGCTGTGTTCCGGAGAACACAGGTAGAGTACCTGGCATGGGTCTTGGCAGCCTTCATGAGCCACTCGATAAATATGTATCTTCTTTCCTTGTATCTACTCACCTCCCATCCCCATGACTCTTTCAGTTGGTCCCTTTTCTGCCATAATTCTTCCTCCCAGTAGATAAAATGGATCCTCTAGTGAACCAAGTCACCAGGCTCTAATGTTAAAATTTCAGAAAAATTATTTAACTTCCCTAGGCCTCGGTTTCTTCCTCTGTCCGTGAGGAGGTTAATAATAGTGCCTTCCTTTTGGGGTGCTGGGCAAGCACTCCATGTGTTATTCGTTATCCCTAATATTCACGCTCAGATGAGGAACTCAGTCTGGATACTTACCCTCTCCTTTAAAGGAATACAGCACTGATAGGCCAAGCCAAATGACTTTTAAAAAATAAAAGAAAAAGAAGAGCCTTAACCGCTTTGGCTCAGAAGATATAGCATCAGCCTGAGAACTTAAGGGTCCCATGTTTAATTCTAGTCAAGGGCATGTACCTTGGTTGCCCTTGGTTGTGGGCACATACCCAGTAGGAGGTGTGCAGGAGGCAGCAGATCGATGTTTCTCATTGACATTTCTAACTCTCTGTCCCTCTCCCTTCCTCTCTGTAAAAAAAAAATCAATTTTATATATATATATATATATATATATATATATATATATATATATATATATATATATATAATGTACTCTGTCTTAAAAAAAAGAAAAAGGAAAGGTATCAGGATGATTGTTGTTTTTATAGATTGTGAAAGTAATTCATAGTCAATATGGAAAAATATTTTTTAAAAAGAAATACGTCACCCATAATCTCACCACCAAGAGAAAACAACTGTTAACATTTTAAAGTATTTCCTTCCAAACAAATAGATCTTGCTGGCATGTTTCAGGAAGGAAAGAACTATGTCTTAATCTTCTCAGAATTTTCCCAGACTTCATCAAACCCGAGGCCTCTCCCCATCTTTGAACCTAACCTAGTCCAATGCTGAGCACTCAGCAGCTGACAGACACATACCTATTCCTTGGCTCACTGATGTACTGATGGAAGTGGCTTTGCCCTGCACTTACTTACATGTGAACTGTCTATGTGTAGAAACAGGGTCGTTATACGAGTGATGCAATTTGCTGGGTTCTTTGTCCAGTTCAATCTGCTAGAAGTGTGCTCATATCTGTATTCCATGTGACTGCTGTTTTTGTTTGGTGATGAAAAGTGGGTTTCCTGCGGGGTCTTATGTTTCCTTTTTCAATGTGCTCAGATTTCACATACCTACAGGAATGGTCATCCCGTGGATTTTATCAGCCCAGCCTGCGTAATACCGAAGGGTTTTGATGACCCCCTGCAAATCCACGTAAAAAGCTTGCAGGAACGGTTTGCCACCATTGAGGGATTCCATGGTCTGCAGGGAAAGAGATAAAGAAAACTTTCCAGTGATTTGCTATATAATTTCTGGAGCAGAAGAAAAAAGAAAGCAATAGAACTCAGGTGAATATGGACAGCGATGCATACCTGGTCAACTCTGATTTCTCAAATACAAAGATTTCAGTACTGCCATTTAGTTTAGTTTAGTTTCCAATAAAAATCACAACGAGTATATCTGTGCATATTCTTGGGCTTGCATGCTCCCAGTAATCATTATCCAAGTGCATAAACACAAGATTTCTTCAACTGGTGATAAACAGATACTCTCTAGTCAAACTTCTCTTATATAAGTGATCAGAGCTGGAGAGGGAGGGGGGCATGGTCCATGCCAGTAATCTGAATCCACAAAGAGGAGCAGGGACATGGGGCTTTTATGCAACTGATGAGAATATAAAACGTTTTCCACAGCTGCCAAGACCCCTGCTGAGGAATGGAATATCCACGGCGCACAGTGAGTTTATTTATTGCCACCAAATAAACAAGGTCTCCTCCAGGGAAGCTCAGACTTTAACTACTCGAGGGCTGCTTTTTTGTAAATATTTATATTAGCAACCTTTATATATTGAGAGTTAAGTATCTGGTTCATTTAATAAAAATAGAGATATAAGGCAGTTTTAGATTATAAATGCTATTATTTTAATCACATGTTTCTAAATGGTTAAATCAGTAACAAAAAGAATTAGAAATGATTACACTGAAATTAGAAAAGAGTGTTTTGACTTGAGAAATATTAACGGTGTTACAAGGTGAACAAATGAAATAAACAAACATGTTTAATCTCATGCCCTTTTCTATAAGGACATTTTATAAAACATAGTGGTATGAAAACTAAAATTGAAATGTTCTCCATCCCATAACATGAAAATACTATTATTTACAGTGCAATTTATCCACTTACTGTATGTATAAGTTGAAATTTATTTTAAAATATCATGTTACTTAGCTTCTTTTTCTGACTGACTTACTTTGCTTAGCATAATATTCTCAAGCTAAGAACCATATGATTTTGTTCTTATGTGGAATATAAAACTGAAACCCATAGATACAAACAACATGGTGGTTACCACAGAGAGGTGGGTGGGAAGGTGGTAAAGGATATAGGGGGCCTAATACATGGTGATGGAGGATGATTTGACTTGAATGGTGGGCACATAATGCAATATGCAGAACATGTATCATAGACATGCACACTTGAAGCTTATATAATATGATCCTATTAACCAATGTCACCTCAAAAACATAAATAAAATATCATGTTACCTTTATTAAAGGAAATCAAATTACTTCCTAGCACTTTTTAGAATATTTATACATTTATGAGATGAGCATCATATTCTCCATGTCTAACATAGAGCCATCTATATAGCACAGAGTAGAACAGAGTCAATAATGACAATCCGGGCCACCTGAATGGTCCCTAGGAGCTACTGATACCAGCAAATCTGCCTGACAGCTGCCAGACTCGGTTTACTTTCAACTGTGTTTACTTGGATACAGTATTAACTTCCATTTCAGGCAGGAGCTCTCCCACATTCCAGAAGCTACCTCTTTTTAACACTCACTGTTCTGGGGACTTGATAGGGTATAAAGTAAAAAAGCCATTCAAGTGTCATCACAGTGAGACGAATGTCAGAAAAAGAATGGCATTTGAATTTTATGACATGAAACTATAACAACAAAAATAAGCTGTATTATCTTCTAGTACATATTGTTAACCTAATATAAATATTGTATGTCTTTAACTTAATCAAGCTGACCCTTACAGACCCTCAGAGTACCTCCCTCCAACTATTTATATGCCAAGAACTGTGGTAGGGATTTTTTTAAAGTCAAATATAATTTTTTTTTTAATTTTACATAGAGAGGAATTGAGAGGGATAGAGAGTTAGAAACATTGATGAGAGAGAAACATCAACCAGCTATCGTTTGCACACCCCCTACTGGGGATGTGCCTGCAACCAAGGTACATGCCCTTGACAGGAATCGAACCCTGGACCCTTCAGTCCGCAGGCCGACATTCTATCCACTGAGCCAAACCGGTCTTGACTAATTTTCACTCTCAAAAAAATCTTATACCTTGGAATACCCTAAGCTATTCCAAAAAATTCAGTTTTTCATGATATTGATAGGCTAGCAAAAAGAGACAGAGAGAGAGAGAGAGAGAGAGAGAGAGAGAGAGAGAGAGAGAGAGAGAGAGAGAGAGACATGAGACAGGGCTTTTCAGAGTTGTTAATATGCTTGGTGTCTTGTGAATCTCCAAGAAGGAACCATTTCACCATGAATCATCTTTTTCACAATATGAATAAGCACCTCCTTGAAGGACCAGATTAGGAAATGGTTTTATAGATGAATAAATGTTACGTATAGCTAGCGTTCCAAACCCTCTCCATGAGGAAGCACTTCTGTTTCCATGCTCTGAGCAGATCCCTGAGGGGACTGGTGGGAGGGAGCGGCCATGGCAGGTGTGAGCTGAGGAAGGGTACTGATGCCTGCCTCTCCCAAAGCAAGCCCCACGGGGACCTGTGTGCCCAAGTAGACAGCAGGATCTAGTTTTTGTGGTTTGGATGCCTGACTAAGCAAGGCATTCAAATATTAATTGATCAGTTGTGTGTCATCCACGTGGAGATCCCTTGTGTACAGAACCGGTATTTCCTAATGGTTCCAGCTTCCAAAAACTCTTTTCTCTAACAAAATTATTTTACTTTAAAAATAATTACTGACAGTAACAACAACAAAAACATTAAGAGAGGAAAATTCCTTATGTAAGAAAAAGACTGTTTTAGTGAAAGGAAGTAGCTGAAAGGGACTGAATAAAGGGGGCAGAAATGCACCCGGATTCATTCCCCATCATGTCCCGTGCTCCTGAAGGAATCTCTTCAGTCAAGAGGAGTTAACTCTAGGGGTCAAAAACTGCCCTTTTGATTCTCCAATGAATCATTTGGTATTGGTTTTCTGCAAGCAGCATGGTGACGCTCCTGCTGCTTAACAGGGTTGTTTTGTTTTGTTTGTGGAGGGTGGGAGGGAGGCAGGAAGGCCCTTACCAGTCATGGGAAGCTAAGGTTTTGTTCTTCAAAATTAAGTGAGATACTCAGCTGGTCCTCTTCTTACTCCCCCACCTGATGCAAAAGCCAAACATCTCTCGTTTTTCTTGTGTTACGAACACCGTGGCTTGTCCCCCCAGGTCTGCTTCACACCATACTTTCATAAAGAGTGAGGAATCGGAATTTCAGTGGAAAGGTAAATTTGGGGTAAAGACGTGTTCGCTTAGGCTCCTTACCGCAAGCATGGCCCTGTCCCGTTCCACCAAGTCTGCGAGCTTATCCAGCAGACGGCCTCTTTCAGAAGCATCCATCCTTCTCCACACGGAACCGAGGGAGAAAGCCAGGCGGGCTGCCTGCACCGCTTTGTCTATATCCGCCTGTTAGAGACAATGAATGGAGCACAACTGAAGCGAGACAACACCCCAGATAAAGGAAGAACCAACCGCTCTCGTGAAAAAGGTGATGGGTGAATGTCAGGGATGGTGTCTGGAAAGTAATGTCATAGGGAGTCTTTTTTCTAAGAAGGACGTACCTTGTCTGCTTCTTGAACTTCACACACCTGTTCTCCCGTGGCTGGATTATAGACAGGGAACACTCTCCCGCTCTCGGAGTTCTGCCACTCGTTGTTAATAAAAATCTAAAGGAGTAGACAGCAGAATGGGCTTGGTGAGGCAGGTGACAGGCAAACTGTGACAGAAGTATCACAGTAATCATACTTACTCTATCTGCTTTCAGCTATGCAAGTAAAGTACAGAAAATGAAGAGTTGCAAGAGACCCCTAAACAGTATGCAATCCAGCTTCCCCCCCAATTCAGGAATTTCCTCTATACATTTTTTTCTTACCTCAATATCATCCAAAGATTAAATACAGTGAACCTGTCAGCCAGTGAGAGAGTCAAAGAGAAATGAAAGGACAGAGACTCAAACATAGAAAACATACACTAAGGCTGAAAAAATATTTCTTGATCCATTGTCCAAGCTCTTGCCAATACAGGTAAGGAGTAAATTGTGGATTAAACTGACAGTGGTCAAACCTTAGATCCTAGTTTCTCTGTCAGAGGCATAAGCGTCTTCACAGGGAAACTTGAAGGTGCTGAAATAAGCATTTACTTAATTTACAGTCAGATCCTAATCGAGCAACGACTCTGACCAAACTAACTAGTGAATCAAACAAGTTACAAGTTGAACCCAAGTGAGATTTCTTTCTCTTTGCTTGGTAGGTTACATGGCTTAGCAGAGGGAAAAGGTCTACAACTTTCAAATTTTTCAAGTTTCCTTATATAAAAAATGAAGATTTTATTAAAATGGCAAAGAGACTAATGGTTTAAGAAATTATATGAGTCAATTTCTCAGAAGATATTTATAAGACATGAGTTAAAAGAGAAGGGGAAATATAGGCAAATAAATTTCAAAAACTTTTATTGCCTTAAGAAAGAAACCCAAATGAATAGTTAGGACTATTAAAAGTCAAAGAATGCACAGAGGCATTCTCTGTACCATTAATGGCATGACAATGAAAGTTTCTGAACTTACGAGTCCGTCAGTGGTAAACTGGCTTATTATTGCCTGCCATTTTAACAATCACAGATGAGGCAAAATGATTACAGAGTTATAATTTTAAATATTAGGTTCTATATTATTCCAAAGCTTCCCCTTTCCCTGGCTTTGATAAAACAATTAGCTTGTGTTGAAGAAGTTATCTTTTCCTAAAGGCTTTTTAAGATAAAGGGGGAAAAAATATATCTGTATAGCACTTAATACAAATGTAGTAAACACAAATACAATGACCTTGTAATTTCATACATTTTAATATACAATTTATAAACATACTTAGTATCATGTACTCTTTTATTCAATAAAGACTTAACTACCTCTAGCCACTGGAGCGGCAAAGATGTCTAAGAGTTCCAGCCTTCCAAGCAGCGTCTTACATAGTCTCTAGTAATTCATTAAAGACTTACAACACCCCTAACAGCAGGATTTTATTATCTCTACAGAAAATGAGACAATAGAGGCCGGGAAGTTAAGAGTCCTAAGAAGCAGGTTCTCATGGTGGCTCTGAGTCAGTCTATTGCTCTTTCCATGATGCCATGGTTGCCAGGATTGTTCAATCCAAAGAAACACAACTACTTAGTTGGTGTCTAAGCCTGAATTAGAGCTACAGTTCTTAGACTCCTGGTTTTGATCTCTTTTCACTCCATTTAACAAATTTCCTAACAGTTCACAGCTGATCATATCTACATGTTCCTTTAAAACACTATATGATCACACACAAAAATAGGAGGTTAATTTTATTAAGGATTCATAAGTACTATATTATTATCAGAAATAAGGAACAAGGAGTCTTGCCAATATTTATTCATTTTATTCATTTTATCCATTATTTGTCTACTCTCAATCTTTGGAAAATCATCACGATCCAGTTTTAGTTTTTAAGATTCTTTGCTGAGCAGTTCTATTTGTAAGGATTGATATTTCATGACTTTTATTGTTTCATAGAAGTCTTTTAATTTTATCTAAAAGAAAAATTATTTATTTTTAGTAAAGTAAAATTTATTTTCTTACTATTGTCATTTAGGAGCATTGATTTTTTTATAAACCAAAGATATAATATGGGATCTTAGTGATTTTTCCTAAATCTTGAAACATTTTGCTATTTCATCATCACTCATATTTCCAACAATGCTTTAAAAAAATTCTAAAAAAATAAGGAAACAAAAACATTACAGTACTGCCTAGAAATCTATATATATAAAAGACTAAGTGACTGACCATCTGATGGTCTAACCGACTGGCTGGCCAATACATCTGACACACACTGGCAATTTAAAAATAAATGTTGACTCATGTATATATGATACATATAAAGCTTTCACTGGCACCAATTGCACACATGTGTTTCAATCTGCCATTATCAATTGTGAATTTGGTTGACCTATTATAGAGAAAATGTGAATAATGATATTAAAATATTTCTTCTAATTAATTTCCTTTAATGTGCACGAATCTGTGAAACAGGCCACTAGTGAAGAAATAAACACATCACCCTATTTCATCATCATTCACTTTTCTTACTGTGTTGTCCAAAGTAATGTATTATCTTTCAAAAGGGTATACAAAAATTGGGAGGAACCATCTTTGTCACATTCTTTTTAGCTTTTACTGAACATAGTTAAGAATTCAAATTGTTTCATTTCTGTCCATAATGGGAAAGAGAAGGAAATTTACAAGGACATTTCACAATTTTAGATGAGTCAGAAGATGAGGACAGAGAGACAAAAACACTAGAGACTCTACTAATGAGGGTAAAATTGACTGAATGAGAAAAATCTTGGACTATGAGTCTTTAGGATAAATAAATTTTCTCAAATTGAAAAATCAAAGAACGAACAATTTATAAACACAAAGAGGAATATGATATTTTAATCAGTCACTCACCAGGAAGGGCTTAATCATTTATTATTTTGCAACAAGAACTTGGACCATCTTGTTTTGATAAAAGGACATGTAACAAGTGTTGTATCTTTTATTACATGTGTAGATAAAAATTTACTTGCTATGATTCATAAATGGATAAATACTGAAGATAGATGTATACACAAAGGTGATTTAAAGGACAGATATGATGTAAAAATTTAAAAAGTTAATTGGATTAATCAAATTTATGGTTTCAAAACTAAAAATAGTTTTCATAATTATGGCACAAAATTATGGCCATCCTCTTTTTACAAAATTATGAGCCTTCAAACTTTTTAATAGTATTACATTGTATGCACATGTAAGAAAAAAACAGAAATGATATGCTATAACCTACCAGACGTGTATTTAAAATCTGAAACCAGTATTTATGACATGAATATTTCCCATTTCATACATGAAAACTGAGTGTATCAGTGCATATTTCAGGCATATATACTTTCAAAACCAGAAAAATACAGAAGAAACTTTGGTTTGCTATGTTTCAATTATTTCATTGGTTTAGCTATCTGTTCATTTACTAATTTTTTCATAAAATAACTTAAAATTTTTTAAATATAGAGTCCAGCCCTAGCTGGTTTGGCTCAGTGGATAGAGTGTCAGCCTGTGAACTGAAGGATCCCGGGTTCGATCCCAGCCTAAGGCACATGCCTGGGTTGTGGGCTTGATCCCCAGTAGGGGGCGTGCAGGGGGCAACCGATCAATGATTCTCTCTCATTATTGATGTTTCTATCTTTCTTTTTCTCTCCCTTCCTCTCTGAAATCAATTAAAATATATATTTTTTAAAAATTAAAAAAGAGTCCTTTGTGTCCAAATGGTAAATGTGATGATTATTTTTCCTGATATGACAACGGTTAAAATATTTTATAGTTCTACTGCATTACTATTTTTGTAGACCCTAATTTGTCTACAGTATAACCATTTAAAATCTTGTACGACAACTTTGTTGGTACACATGAAAGTAAATACCTCCACAATGCTTGAAGGTTTTCAGCTTCTCTGGGCCATTTCAAAAATTTCAAATGCTGTCTAACGTGTTCTTCTCTGACTAGACTCCTTGGAAAAATAGTTTATTTCAGGGTTGTAGTGGGGAAGCACAAAATGATCCTGAACTAGTGTGATACCAGAAATCAAGTACATGTTCAAAAACTGATGGGACATATTAAAAGGACAGGAGCCAACATGAAGGGGCTACCCAAAGCCAACACTTTGGGATCATTTAAACAACAAAATAAGTAATAATATTAATGAATTCTATTCATATAATAAAAAAAAGCATCCAAGAGTCCATACTGATATAAAGATTTTACATGAATAAGTAAATAAATGAGGGATAAGGAAAAGCTCTTCTTCAAGTAGAATTCCAACTAACAACAGTGAAGGAATGATGGAATTAGATCATCACCATTTGTCAGACACCACAGTAATAACTGCTTCAGGCAAAAATCAACAACAGATGGTAAACTTCGTGGGCAAAAACATGATGAAAAATTGGGTGTTTGTATAGTCTCCCTCAAGATACTTCTTAATTACGAAGGGAAAAACAGCCACTTTACATTGAAGAAACTGGACAGACACCACCTTAAATCAACTGATCGAAGTTAACGTCACCAATGATGGGACATATTGATAGCATGTGCTCCTTATGTGATACACTGAGGGCACAGTTCCTTCTGCAGTATTCTTACCCAAAAGGCATAACCTTAATTTAATCACGAGGAAATTATCAGACAAATCCAAATTAAAGTACATTCTACAAAATAAGTGGCCTTAATTTTTTTTATCTTTTTAAAGAGCCAAGGTTATGAAAGACAAAGAAAGACTAAAACACCATTCTAAAATAAAGGACACTAATGAATGTAAAAATAAATGAATCATGTAACTGTGGCCTGGCTCCTGGACCAGAAAAATATATATCATTGGGACAACTGGTGGGATTCGAGTAAGGTCTTTGGATTAGATCATGTATCCATGTTGATTTCCTGGGGAATCTGGGTGAAAAGTACATAGGGATTCTTTGTGCTATTTTTGAAACTTTTAAAAATAAATTGGAAATTATTTCAAAATAAAAAGTGAAAAAAAGTATTGGTTAGAGTTGCCCTTTGGTGCCTACCTTTCATACTATAAGCTACCAAAACAAACACGTTAAATGAAATAAT